TCCTATTGTTAGCAAACAATGTAGTCTAAGACTGAATGCGCAGGAAAGTGGCTTTTAACTAGGCCTCAGTTGTCCTTTGGATTTATATTGCCACACGTCCATGGTACCCTGGAGGCAAATGCTTCTTCTTGTGGGAAAAGTTGATCAATATCTACAATCAAAATTATTGATGACAATATTTAAAAGTGTTCATGTTGAAATATCCTCAAATTGAATTATGTCGTATTTTTTCTTAGTACTAGATCTACTAGATTAAGTTTTGAAAGTGTGAATACTAATATTTGGACCATACTGATAGCTGTTAGATTATCTTTAATACCTTGAATTCCACACAAAAGACAGGATTCTTCACATCTTGGAATACCCAACCACTTTCCTTACTCTCTTTCACTTGAAAGGCCCTATCTCCGGTAAGCTTCTCCCTGCTCAAAAGGTTATGACAAGTATATTATCTTTCCCAAAAATTGTAGCTATTTGTAGGTACATAAATTATGAAGAAATCAATTACTTTACTCATTACTGTTCCTTTCGATTTTTACAGAAATATTTTTAACATGTTTAATTAATATGAAACATATTAGTAAGATTTAAATGATGCTTTTCACTGTATATAAATCTTGGTTTTTGACACAGTTTCCACTCCGTAAAAAAAGTTTTTCGATTCTCTCCAAAATACAATGAAAAGTTCAGCCAATAGAATCACGAACTGAGAGTCTGTCACTGTCAGTCTGAACATATGATTCGAAGACTGACAAAAAAAATCAACAAACAAGACTTTGTCATTAATATAATCATAAAATAATCTATTTTTTACTTACATTTATGGTCCCAAACTCTTTAATTCTCTAGTTTTCATTAATAAGACACCAAGTTGACCAACTCAACTGCCTTAACTGCGGCTATCAACCTCAACTCAAAGCACATTTTCTGTCACTATGGGAAGCAGAATTCAGTCGCTAATTGAAGAACCAAACCGGAACGGACATACGGAATTCCGAATTGTTTGTTTTTTTCAAAGACGAATTTCTCATAAACCTATGCGCGCGGGTGACGTTAAACGTAGTTTTAATTTTAAACAGCCTTATGGTTAAATCAATAACTGCGAAAAGTCTTTTCCTTGGGGACCACCCCTTGTTATCAAAATCAGACTAGGAATAAGTCAACATCTATTTGTTCTTTTTTTACTTAACATATCATTCATTTTTAAAATACTAGTTCTCAAAAGTTTGGCAAAATGAAATCTGAGAGCTCCGAACATAGCCAATTGTGTTGTTATTCAGGATGCATGGCATGCATTAGTAGTAGAATTTAGAAATATATATTGAAAAGAACATTCTTTTGTGATAAAACTTGGGGGGGGGGGGGGTTTGACTGTTGACTTCCTTTTTATCCCTCTGCCTCTCACCTTAACACCGAAACGTTTAAGTATTGAAAAGATTTTCAGCTGAATACTATACCGCAATAAAACTTGGGTATGTGTAAATGTTTCAATCATTACGGAATCAATACGGAACATGATACTTTGAAGTTGGAGGTTGAACAATTTTCATTGTAAATAATAAACATACTAGATCTGTATTCTTTTTAGATCGATTACAAAAGTTCAACTTTTGTATACAGACGGCATGGTACTCTGTGATAATATTAAAAGTCTGCACATTAATTATAGACAGGTAGTACACCAGCTTCCAGTCGCGGTGTAAATTATTCAGAAGCAGGATTTTTGAAAAGCGTCAATTTTCAAATATATAAGAATAAAAAATAGAGACCCCACACTTTTTACTGATCTTTTGTACCCGAATAAACGGACAAGAACATAACAAAAGAAGGAAGTTTAATAAACACCAAATTTTTGGCATTCTAAAAAAAACTCCAGGTCAAGCATTTTAAAAAAAAAGATCCTTTCGTTGGTGTCAAATTAACAAAAGAGTGGAAAAAAATTTAGTATCTTTTTTTTCAAATGAATCATAAAAATTTAAAATTATGTATATGATTAAGCGCATAATTCTTGTTTCTTTCTTACTTTCTTTATTGAGTAATATACTAGTATGTTAAGAAATTTGAATCATATTTTGTACGTATACAGACTTTATTATTGCTTGAACTTTTTGCTTGACTTATTTTGATGTTTTTTTTTTTCGAACCATCCTATTCTTGCTTTCTCTGGGAAACAATGTACCTCCTTCTATATCTACCCTTCAATTGAATTTCATAAAGCAAAAATGTGGGCGAAAATGATGTCCCCAAATTCTCTTTAATATTTATTTGATTTCATTATAATAATTGATTTACGATAGTGTTATACTAAGAAAATAAACATATCCAAATAAAAAATCACGTTTCATCTGATCCTCAGGTATTGTCTTTTCTATTAATTTCATAGCATCTATGAATAAAGTACTGTTTGCAATCATACACAGAGTTTGCCTGTAACTTGTAGAGAAATCCATCCTTAAAGAAGATAATAAATCTGAATACATTTTAGTTCAAGGCTAAATATAACTAAAGTGGGGTAATAAACCCTGGACTCAAGGTATATATGGACTTTACAATTTTGGAAGAGAACTTTTACTACTTCCGCAACAAATGCATTCGTGCTTCATGTATATACACCAAAATTGCTCGAAATTGATCAAGTCACTTCAGAGAAGCAGTTGAAAACGACTCGCTGACGGACGAAACATGCAGAAATTGAGTAACTCAATGTGAGATCAAGATTAGATTATCTTCATTCAATTTCAAATATTTTACAACTTTCAAAAGTCCATTCAAAAAATACAAATTAGGAGCAGAGCAAACACAGACCTCGCTTACATCAGAGGTGGGATCGGGTGCCATGGAGGAGTAAGCATCCCCTGCCGACCGGTCACGTCGCCGTGTGCTCCTTGTCATGATCGGGAAAAACAACGGAATCCGATGTATTTAATGGCCTAACAATTAGTATGAAATACGTCAGTCAGTATTTGAGTTATAGATAGATTGTATTTACTAACACAATGTCATTGTATCTTGGAACTTGCAAAATGATCACTTCAAACGAGAAATTCATATTTTATTAACTTGTTTTTCAATAGCTTGCCTCTTTTTAGAAATTGTTCGGGCGTAGAGCATGCTTTTGCGTATCGAATCAACCGAGAGACATAAACACCTTATGCATGCAGGTAATAAGTGTGTATTGTTGAGTAAGGGAAGTTAGCGATTGAAAAGTTGAAGTCATCACGTTTATCATAAAGCTTTGTTGTTGGTTTTAAATACCATTTACGTCTTTTTCTGGGAAATTTATCAAACAATGTGATGTAATCAACAGATGAATACAAAATTAGAAAATGTGATGCCGAAGTAAAGCCCTTATAATCAAACTTGATGTCGATGTGAGATGTCTTCATAGCTTGTAAAGCTCATTGAGTCCTAAATGTCACCAGTGAACATAGAAAGGTCCTATACATAAATTAGAAAAGTCGCACACAGAACTGAATTCCCAACTACTGATTTTTTAGGAACGCAATTTCCTCTACAATGTTTTAACTGTTCATATCACATCGCAGCGAAATTTGAGGGGATATAGTAATGCAATCCTGTGTATGACACGCCGAAAAAAATGAGCTTAACATAGTTTCACAGTTGATAAACTAGGTCTATCGACTGTAAACTATACCGGGGTAGTTTACAAACACTGAACTATAGTTAACAATTCGTTAACTGTAGTTTTCATCTGTAAAACTATATTTAACAATTGTTAACTATAGTTTACGAATGCTAATCTAAGTTTATCTGTCTGTAATAAAACGTTAACAAAAGATTTTGTTGATAAACATAGATTCACGTCTGTAAACTATATACAATCGTGAACTATAGTTAAGAGTTGTTAATCATAGTTTACAAATCGTGAAACTATATTTATCAGATCGTTAACTATAGTTAAGAGTTGTAAACCATAGTTTACAAATCGTAAAACTGTATTTATCAGATAATCTATGTTTTGCAATCGTAAATGATTGTGTGCAGTGTTAATAATAGTTTACGATTATCGCGTTAACTATGGTTTACAGATGTAAAATACAGATTAACGTCGTTAACTATAGTTTACACTCAGTCGACTATAATTTACAACCGATAAACCTAGTTTATCGACTGTGAAACTATGTTTAGCTCATTTTTGTGAATTTGGCGTGCCATACCTGTGTGTGAGTTAATGTACATGCGATACGGAAGCTTGTGAAGTGACGTTATTTGCATCGGGATCGTTTTCGAATACTGTTTTGATTTATAGCAGTGCTCTTTGCGAGGAGATGCTCCGTTTTGCGGTGCCATTGTTTAAATTGGATTCTGAGTTTCCACAAAGTGAAGAAAATCCTATTGAACAATAACTTGTCCATTTTACTACCTAAACTACAAACTAAATCCACAACTAACTTATATCTATTTGAAAAATTCGTTTTAAATAATTGTTGATGATTTTTGTAGGATACACATAAGAGCCAACATCATATTTTGACTTCCATAAGCATGATGGAGGGTTCCAGAGAGGTGATACTTTAGATATTGAAAACAGAGATGTGTATATATAAAATTTCAAAGGCTATCGATGAACAATTTTATTTACTAAGCAGTGATTCAAAAAATGATGCAACCTTGTTTAGACGCTGGTTGTAAAGCTCCCATTATTTCAGTCAAAAAGAAGCGATCCACATGCTTGTAGTACTAATTAAGACTCAAAACTGAAGATAAGAACATGTAGCAATGATCCATGCTTATGTCCGAGTTATACTGTAGGTGGTGATAGAAATAGAGAGAGAGAAAGGACCAGCTGATCTTGTATATTGCCTGTCTTGTTTCTCCTTCTGGCTGTCCAGCTGGCTGTGTGGTGCCGTGGCGTACATCATGGCTTATAAGGTATTCACTACAGCAACATGAACACAAGTTTCTTTTCTAAAGTTTAATTATACAAAGACATGAACATGCATGGAACTGTTTTTCTTAGAAATAAAAGATCGGGGTGAGAACAAGAATAAATGATAGTGGATCTACTGTCTGTCCTTAACATAAAGGGGGTCACGATCCTCCAAAATTTGGGCATTACTCAGCGTGTTCAAGACTTGTTTCATCTCATATTTGAAGGGATATCAACCCTGTAATGGACAATATTGCTATAAATTTATAGACGCTTTCACAAAATTTCTTGTTGTTCTAGTAATAAATTTCTAAAAGCGTCTATATAATATAAATGTGCCTTACAGTGTATGTTTATTGACTCCAGCTAAATACAAATTCTAGTTTCAGTAAATTGATGAACTCGATAGTTTGTAATAAACGTCTTCAAAATCTTAGTGGAAGTCCATGAAGAAGTATGTAGGTCTGTAGAATAAGTATGTAGGTGTGTTCTTGCATTCATTCTTTGTTTATTTATATTCTAGGCAGAAAAGGCAAAGAAATACGGCGACTCCCTGCGTTACAAGTTGTTCAGCAGTGTAGGCATCAGTCTGGCAGTAATAGGAATAATCATTGGTCTGGCAGTCATCGTGTCCTTCTTTAAATTCATCTTCCCGGTCTGGTACCGATCTCTCTATTTGACGGTGGAACCTGACTACGTCTGGGAGTGATGAGGCTTGGACAATAGCTATACTTCCAGAAAATGAGTAGGACGGTGTATTCATGTGATATTTTTAATCATGTAATTGGTTCATTCAGAGTATTTGGATTTGTATGTTCATACTTAGTAATAAACAAAATATAACAATTGTCGATAATTTGGTTACTTACAGAATTTTAAACACCGGAGATTATTAAAAAGGTTAAAAATTTCACCCCGGCATTGCTTTCAGAGGCAAGTATATATTATATTTTCCCACAGGCACTCCCCATCTTGATTGTTGAAAAAATATACATCTACTTTTCTATAAACAGTTATGTTTATAGTATAGTATAGTAAATGTATATTTTTTAAACAATTAGGATGGAGAGTGCCTATGTATTTTCCAAGATTTAAAACTAGGTCGCTATTGTATCTGAGTATTGAATTCTGTTGAGTGCCTTTTTGTAATATCTGAATTTACAGGGCACCAGTAAATGCTCAAAATTATAAATGTCTTGCATATTTTAGGGGGGGGGGTATTAAGTTACTGCCATTCAAGTTATTGAGAGAAAAGATACTCTAAAGAAATTTGATGTAATTTAAAACACCAGATTTTTTTTTCAAAAGTACCCCTAGTTTGAAAATGAAAATGTTGAAAGTTTATTGCACATTTATACAAGAAATCAGTGATTATCCTCTTAGTATGCTGATTTGGCAACTGCATAAAATGCACTAGTATTTTAAAGAGTTCTGGGAACCAGGATTTTTGCACAAAACGTCATTTTCTATCCTCATTGATCCCAAAATTGAAAATAAATTGAAAATAAAATTCCAAAACCTTATTGCACATGAGTATAGCACCAGCTGCAGCAATCAACTTCCGAAAGATTATCTGGGCATTGTGGATAATGCACAAGGAATTCTAGAAATACGTTTGACCCCATAGTAAAAGGCCAATTCGAAAAAATTACTTTGTAGAAACACATCGGCTACCTTCCAAAAGATTAATTGGCTCTTGCGTAAAGAGTAAGGGGAAACAGGGGCAAGGGTTGTTTTTTGTAATTTGCTTGTATAGGAATAATTTGCTTGTATAGGAAAACCGTCCCTTTTTAAATACCAATTTCACCTCCAGGTTAAACAAAAATTATCTTCTGCAGGATACTTCTGATCCTTTTCCGAAATGGTTAGAGGAATTAATAGAATTATATTTTGTAGAACCATTTTTTGTAGGAAAAAAGGTGTTTGAACCTAGTTTGATTGAGTATTTAGTGTTTTTCTCGTCAAAATTTTAAAATTGTATATTGTACGATTTATACAACCTCGGTGGATCCATTATGAAATGGGAATCTAAAGGGGCTATGAACATAATAATGATTATACATGTATGTTTTAAAATATTTACTTTTACCAATACAGTACTAGTACCAAGGTAGTTCCATTAAAAAAAAAAAAGCATCGGCTGATAAACAACGTAATTTTTTGCATTCAAAACAAACCTGTTTTGAACGTTCCCCTTAAGTCAAAGCTGGATTAAGAACCAATATAGAAAAGTTAAAAAATCAAAGTTTCTCTTTAAAACCTTTGAGTATGTTTAAGGAATAACTGTCTTATTTTCCGATTTCATGATGTGATCAATCTATTGACTTGCGTGATAATTTGCATAAACGCCGAAAATTATCACGCAAACCAATCGATTGATCGTCGTCATGAAATCGAAAAATCAGACAGTTATTCCTAATATTTACATGCTCTTGATTCTGCCAATCCACGTGCTACAAACCCTGCTTCTGTCTCTCTATGTGTCCCGCCCTGCACGTGATTTTTTTTTAACCACGCCTTTCGATGAACCATTAGTTGATGAGGAAATAAAGTACATTAACTATTTGTAATTTTATTTCGTACAAAGACATTGGAAATGTAAATATTTTTTATTAGTGTGAAATTTTTTTAACTCGATCTTTTTTTTCTCATAAAAACTTTAACTGTTGACTTTAATTTGTTCGGAACAGACCTCTGCAGTAGTGTAACATGCCGACATAAATAGACCTGATAAGACACGAACGCATAACCTTCCAAATAAAAAAAATACAACGCATTGGTAAGTCAACCAGTTTCATATAATTTAAAAATCTGAATCTACTCTCAATAAATAAAAAAAAATCAAATGCCATTTGCTATGAGTTTTCACAATTACTAGTAAATATGTCAATCTAAAAAGTTACTGATCTCTTATCAGTACAAGTACATTATCGAGAGTGGAAGGTCACTATTTTAAACATTTGTTAGACCGCTTATTTTTCAAAAGTAAGCATTTCATTATCAGTTCAATCTTATTTTTAATAAAACATTTTTTTCTTATTTTTGATTCCTCATTTCCAACAAAATGGTAGAAACCTTCAGGAGACATAATGCGTTAAAGTCATATTTTTTGTAAATTATATCACGAATCGAGTGATTTATTTTAAAATGTGAGTTTTTGTCAGCAATTTTTTTTGTTAAATTCAGCTGCAATGTAAAGAAAGAAAAGGGTACAAATTATAGTTATTTTACCATAAATATGGCACGACAACTTCACAAAAATGAGTAAAACATAGTTTTACAGTTGATATACTAGGTTCATCGACTGTAAACTATAGTCTACAAACCGTTGTTAATAATTCGTTAACTAAAGTTTTCATCTGTAGAACTTTAGTTAACGGTTGTAAACTATAGTTTACGAATGCATAACTGGGTTTATCCGTCTGTAATTAAACGTTAATGATTGATTTTGTTGATAAACACAGATTCACAGCTGTAAACTTTATAGATTTTGGTTGTAAACTATAGTTAACTACCATTCATACTGATAAATATGGCACGCCAAATTCACAAAAATGAGATAAACCTAGTTTCACATTTGATAAACTAGGTTTATCGACTGTAAACTATAGTTTACAAACCGTAAACTATAGTTAACGATTCGTTAAGTATAGTTAACGATTCGTTAAGTATAGTTTTCATCTGTAAAACTATATTTAACGGTTGTTAACAATAGTTTACGAATGATAATCTAAGTTTATCTGTCTGTAATAAGCGTTAACAATAGATTTTGTTGATAAACATAGATTCACGTTTGTAAACTATAGTTTACAATCGTAAACTATAGTTAAGAGTTGTTAATCGTAGTTTCACAAATCGTGAAACTATATTTATCAGATCGATAACTATAGTTAACGGTTTGTAAACTATAGTTTACAAATCGTGAAACTGTATTTATCAGATTATCTATGTTTTGCAATCGCAAATGATTGTTTTCAGTGTTAAGTATAGTTTACGGTTGTGAAACATAGATTATCGCGTTAACTATGGTTTATGGATGTAAAATATAGATTAACGTTGTTAACTATAGTTGTTTACAGTCCGTAAACTATAGTTTACAACCGATAAACCTAGTTTATCGACTGTGAAACTATGTTTAGCTCATTTTTGTGAATTTGGCGTGCCATAGATAAACTATATTAATATTTTTAAGAGACGTAAACTATACTTATCGATCGTAAACTATAGTTTCAAGAGATAAACTATGATTCATATTTGCCACCCTTGGTCTATTGATCAGCAATTCTATTTCAAAGGACTTTATAAAGACAATGAGTAATTTCTGCGCAGGTGTACAAGGAGAAAGGTCAATTTTCGGCCTGGCCGGTTTCGGTAATAATAATTTTTAAGAGGCAGTCCACCGTAAATCCAGGCAGTATTGTATTAATAGGCGGCACATCGAATGTGAGGAATATTTGGTAATTTATTAAAAACAATATCAATGTAGTCCAAAAGGAATAATGTAACTGAAGATTTGTTTGAAAATTGCTTATTTAGTAAAATATCCTTGTGTTTTGTGTTTTTGAATTCCCCTATATAAACCATTGAAAGTAGGTAAGAAACAAAGAGCTGTAATTTCCAATACAATTTTAACAGGACTATAATTCACACTTAAATAAACCTAGAAATATTTCATCTTTTTGTTAAAAAAATAAAATCATTGGGAAAAACACTTTTAATAGAAGTATTCTGGCAAAATATATAGACGTTTCCATGAAAAATTACGATGCAAGAGTTATCTCCCGTGGCATCGGTAAATCTGCCAAACACATTTTCATCGGAATCCTAGTGAAATATTTAGAATCAATACACTAAAGAAAATTATTAAACAAAAAATAAATAATTTATTTTCAAAATATAATTCATTTTCGCCTCCAAACATAATATTTAGATTAAATTGGCTATAATATTCAGGTAAAATAACGTTTCCATTGATGTACTTGTATCAGTGACGTCAATATATTGCGTCACAATGAAATAGTTACAAGTTTTTCAGAGAAGCTCGTAAATTCTTTCCGTAAAGTGTAAAAATATATTTAAAAAAAAATGATTTTTCTTTTTCTGATCAATAACTCTTCAGAGTGCATTATACTAAATGTTAAATATTTTAATATCAAAATGTATTTTACACAGTACCCGGGCAGCGTCTCAGCAAGATGACGTTTTGATAAGTAATTTCATACATGTCCGAGAACTAATTTTTTAAAATTGATTTACCAGGATATGCGTTAAAATAAATAATGAAGTGTTTATAATGAACATTTCTTATAAAATTGGGAATCAATGATGAATGTTTTAGATTTACGCAACATTTAATTCAACGAAGTTGATAGATCTGAAAACTAAAACTGAAATACATTTATCTATGCAATCAAATCAAAATAAACGATCTACAGTACGATTAAAAATGAAAAAAAAAGAACTGAAAAATAAGTTATAGAAATATATTTATTGAGTTAAATTTACTGCCAAACTCCCGACTATAATTTGGCACTATAACGGAAGGTGGTTTAGTTAGACATTTGTGTGTGTGTGTGTGTGTGTTTTTTAATTTTATTTATTAAGTTTTATTCGGCGATTGAAACAATCACACACTCACATTTAATATGAAGTATAAACCTTTGAGTATGTTGACCAATATTAAAATGTTTTCACGTTCATGAAATCAATTTTTAAAAATAATGATGCCATTAACCCGCACCCCCCTTCCGCGCTTCTTGCTTGCGATTTATCGGCTCTTGAAAAATTATACTGTACATGAAAGAACTTATTTTCTTATTTATATAAAATCAAATTTTGTAAAAGAGGAAAAGGCTTTACAGATGACAGGTAAGAAAAAACTTGGATAAAGTCGAGACTGTACACATAAAAATATTTCTTGCATTTCGGCAATTTTAATTTCGCTACTGATAGAATTTACTCTTTAATTCCTGAGGCAATTAAAAAAGAAATTTTACTTGAAAATGAGATGAATAATGAAGCTAGAAAGTTGTCTGCTCTGGTTGTTGCATAATGCATGCACAAATACTTTTTTTTTAAATACCTAGTTTCTATTAATTTTAGAAATCAATCAGATCAGATGTTTTACATGTAATCTTCATGTAAGTAAGAGACATCGGTAATTTAAATAATACATACATTTGAACCTATGGTTACCCTCATTTAAAAACAGTAAACTGACTGAATGGTAATTTAAATAATACATACATTTGAATCTATGGTTACACTCATTTAAAAACAGTAAACTGACTGAAAAGAAATAACAGGCAAGCATTTTTTCTGATAAATTAACATGAAGAGCCAAATTTAGGAAATTTTTCTAAATTTACGGTAAAAACCGATCCCGATTGAAATAAAACCGATCCCGATCGAAAATAATGCAAAATTAATAAATTTATCAAACGAAAGGCAACTGCAACCTATATTATATATTTAAAAAATAAATCAAGTAATTTCTTAATCATATTACAACAAAAGAGCCAAATTTGACATTACTATTTTAGTATTTTCTTCTTTATACAATTCCGGTCGGGATCGGTTTCATTTGTGAAAACTATAAAAAATAAGTAAATATTTGACTCCTTTTATTTCTTTCAAAATACCTTTTCCCAATGATTTTATTGAATGAACCAAAAGTTTGTACTTTGTATTCATAAAAACATAAGTAAACAAATATGTCCTTGTATTGTATTGGGTTTTATTACGTAATTAAAATTGGATACTGAATTTAAACATTTACCTGCTAAACTCAAATTTGGACCAGATAATTTTTTCTAAAGAAGTATAAATTGGAGTCTTATTCATTCATAAAATAAAAGATAAAAGTCTATTCTATAAATAATATTCATCGGCACATCCACCTCTGGAGTATCTGTTACATATAAAACAAAATTAAAACGTATTTTTTTTACCCTCATGTTGACCTTTTTGCACTTAAAATTAAGCATTTACCAAAACTAGGACTAGAGAAGCACTATAAATTTTTTTGATGTTGTCATGTGTAAACACTTGCTTTAATAAGTCTACATGCAAAAAATAATTAAAATCCATGACATGCGATGTGCCACCCATTGCCTGGTTTTTCGGTGGACAGCCTCCTAAGTATATTGGCTTTTTTTCAGGATAGAAGAGTGCTTCCTATGCAACGATGATCGTATTCACTTTATTTCTTGTTTTCTGGTATTTTCCGGACAAAGGTAATTTACTGAAAAGTTGCTTTTTGGCATGGAGTTGGATTTACATTTTTATATCTCTAGTAATTGTGCATGTAATTTGAAGGAGTAAATGACATGTAAATTGCTATTTTAGTTGACTCGACAATTTCCTGCTATTTCTGTCAAGGGCAACCAGCGTCTTTTTGTTTACAGAAAAAAGTAACATGTCCTCCAGATCACGTGAGTATGAAATTGGCCACGAAATTCACTAGATCGAACATTAACTATTAGGCTTCTTACATGAAATAAAACTATGACAATGACCTTTATTCTCATAACTGGTACATATTCATAAGGCTATTACATCGCATGATCATAATTTGAATATTGCCCCCTCGTCATACATGTATCGTCTTAGCTATGTCATCGCATCATAAACCTAAATCTCGGCAAAGTATTTGTGCTGTAGCGAACCACGTGGCTCAATCTGGATTCCATTCAAAGTTGAGAATGCATGTTATTTAATTGTAAAAAAAAAAATAAAAATGAAAATATACAATGAATATCTAGGTTATGGACACTAAACTGTGTAAGTATATACATTCGTTGGTTATATATATTTATTTATCTCAGATGTGTTTTATGGAGTCGATAACTTCCAGTAGGAATGAGACTTTGTTTGTGGCGGGATGTCGTACTAGAAAAGTGAGTATTATTTACGATATCAAAGTAACTTTCAATTCTATGGAAATATGTACGGTTTTGAAATCATTGTACAATGTGTAAATGAAAGGCTGTACAATCATACTAATTTTAATTTATTTTATTTAAGATATATTTTATTTAAGTTATGTTCATGGATGGTCTCCCCTGTTGGAAGACGATCAATCGTAGACCAGTGTGCCCAATGCTGCGATGCTACGTCATCACCACTTTGTAATGGGCGTCTATGTAAATTCAACGGTAAATCAAAATGAGTCATTATCTAGATATGATAGAATTGATATCATATTCTTATCATTGTTGCACTCTTCTAATAAAATCAATTAAGGAAAAAATAGCTCTTATTTTTTCTCAATTAGATAAAGGTAAATGCCGTGTGTGTTCAGGGCTTCATCATGATGCGCAAATCTGTCCGATCTCTCAATGTGCCGACAACGAGGTACAATGTTACTTTTAAAAATTACTAGCGTTAAGCTTTAAGAATAAATTTCAAACTATTAATTAAATTTAGACGTATCATATCTATTAGTTAAGACTTGAATTAATAATAAAAAAAATGTCTTTTGATTTTTTTTCAGATGTGTTTTACTGGAACAAGATATATAGGAGGAACCATGTTAAGAGTGTATGGCTGTGAAAGTACGCGAGTAAGTTACTAGTAATCATAAACTAGATGCTGTCATGAGACAGTAATACCCGCACTAAGGTGTTTGCCTCTAAATGCACAATCCTTCAAATTGGGCTTTACCAAGGAAAAAGTCAATATAATTCAATAATTTACATAACACAAGTATTCATAAAATTGAGCATGTTATGCTCAGGTGGCCATGTGACCTTTGGGCCTTGATCTTATAGGTTTTTCATATTCTTAATTCATTACCTGTCTGAAATTAATCAACAGAATTTGATTAATGATGTAAATTAGGTTTGATAAAGGGGGGATATAAATTTTTGGCCTATAATTGGAACTTTTTAAATCTATTTTCTCATAGAAATCAACAACAAATAATATTATTCAAATTAGTGTAAAGCGTTTTTGATGATTTTTTCAAAATGTGCAAACTTTTATATTTGATTAGGCGGAAACTCCTAGAAAGCTGCCATTTCGATTTATGTCTATGCATATACCCAATCAATATAGTCAACCCCCCACCCCTGTCCCATCGACACACACACAAACAGTTACACACACTTTTTGCGTGTTTTTGGAAATAGGCATAGATGGCAAAGTTAAGATAAAACATCTTTTGTAAATGATAATTTTAAATTTGTTCTTGTACATGTATCTGAACACCTGCATCACATTGGGCTTGCGTCACGTACCCAACTTCAAGTACTAGTTTTACCGTTATCATTTTTTGATTGCACTGCTACGTGCAGTACTAGTGTGGTGTACACATCATTGCATGTATGTCAGTAGGAATAATTTTGTGTTTTATTGGATTATATTTTATGAAGTTGACGGGACCTATGACAATCAGTAAGTACAAGTTTTGGTATAGATTTAGTACAATAGTCTGAAATGCAACTGGTTAGGTTAAAGTTTAAAGGATCTAAGGTCATCCGATGCTTGCAATAGACGAATTTCACATTCTGAAGAGTTATCGCCCGTTATCGACGTTACATTCAGTTACAAGATACAGAATTTTTTTTTCTGGGAGGGAGGGGGGATTTCCAGACCAGAATTTCCTGAGAAGCAAAAAAAGAGAGGTTATGGTGGGGTCTGTTTTCTAGGGTTGGGGGCATCCAAAGTCTTTTTTATTTGTTATTATATACATGTATATTATAGTCCTGCATATTCCTTGGGGGGGGGGGGATCTCTTCTTCTTCTTCTTCTTCCCATACGAGTTTACTCTTACAAGAGCGTTGAACTCGGACTGTCACACGCGACGGACAAGGCTAAAAACCCGATCAGGGCACTATGTACAATAAAAGGTTAAAAACTGGCACACTTAGTTGGTGTTGATGGGCAGCTGGCTCTGTGTGTATGAGTCCAGCTGTGTCCGGAAGGACTCTAGTGTTGGTGCTGAGGCAACTACAGATGGTAAACTGTTCCAGTCTAGAATTGTCCTCGGAAAAAAGGAATATCGATGTGCATCGATCCGGGTGTGTGGTAGACGGAACGTGTAGCTGCCTCTGGTCCTTCTGTCACTGGGTGTCAGGTACATATCTGCAGGGATGGCCACCAAAGCATGCTCAATCTTGTATAACAAAACGAGTCTTATCTTCATTCTTCTTGTTTGTAATGGTTCCCAGTGTAGATCTTGTAACATCTGGGTAACACTCCCGGGGTGGTTATCATGGTAGTTTTTGGTGGCAAAACGTGCTGCTCGTCTTTGCACTTTCTCCAGCTGATGGACTTGCTTGGAGTTCCAGGGATCCCATGCTGCACAGGCATATTCTAGAATCGGTCGTACTAATCCCTGGTATGCTGCGGATCTTGCAGATGTCCGACATCCCCTCATATTCCTCCTGATAAAGCCCAGTGTCTTGTTGGCTTTTGATGTGATGTTACTGATGTGGTTGTCCCATCGTAGGTCTTTACTAATGGTGACTCCAAGGTATTTACTGGAATCAACCACATCTAGGAGGTACCCATGTATAGAATAAGTAGCGGTGATCGGTTTCCGCTTTCTGGTAACTTGAATAACAACACATTTTTCTGGGTGGAATGCCATCTGCCAGTCCTCCTCCCAGCTGGTCAGAGAGTTGAGATCCTTTTGCAAGGTGACTGCATCATCCTTATTTGTGATAGGTCTGCAAAGGAGACAGTCATCTGCGAAAAGGCGAGTATCTGACAGTGTCCTTTCAGGTAGGTCGTTAATGTAGAGAAGGAACAGTAGGGGTCCTAGGACTGTCCCTTGTGGCACTCCTGACACCACTGGTGCTGTTGAGGAAGTATGGCCCTCTAGAAGTACTTGCTGTGTCCTATCTGTTAGGAAGTCTCTAATCCATTGGAGAGTGGTGCCTCGTACTCCGTAGTAGTTTAACTTATGAGCTAGCCGCTGGTGGGGGACCTTATCGAAGGCTTTAGAAAAGTCAAGCAGGATGATGTCTACTTGGCCTTTTTCTCCAAGGTTCTGGGCTATACTGTTTATGGTGGACACCAACTGAGTTTCACAGGAACGCTTAGAGCGGAATCCATGTTGACTGTTTGAGAGGATGGAATTCTCATCTAGATGGTCCATGACTTGGCTGTGTATAATGTGTTCCAGCAGTTTACAAGGGATAGATGTTAAAGATACAGGTCGATAGTTCGAAGCTAAATGTTTGTCCCCTTTCTTGAAAATTGGAACGATACTTGCCCGTCGCCAGTCATCTGGAATCCTTCCTGTGTCTACAGAAGATTGGAAAATGGATGTTAATATTGGTGCAAGTTGATCAGCGTGGTCATGTAGAAGCTTAGCTGGTATCTCGTCAGGGCCAGTGGCTTTGTTGACATTGATGTTTTTAAGAAGCTTGTAGACCCCATTTTGTGACACTCTTATACGATGCATGTCCGGGTAGGGGCTAGGACCCTTGTCTGGCATGCTGCTGGTGTTCTCATTGGTATACACAGAGTGGAATTGGTTGAGTATCTCAGCTTTAGATTCCTTGTCGCTGTATAGCAAACCATCAGCCTTTCTGAGGGGTGCAGTACCTTGCGAGTCCTGTCTTTTACCCTTGAGGTAAGACCAGAATCTTTTTGGATTGCTATGGAGGTCGCTGCAGAAGATCTCATCAATATAGCTGTCATGAGCCCTTCTAAATTCCCTCTGTGCTATTGCCTTCAAGTGCCGATACCGAGTCCAGTCTTCAGGGTTTTGGGTGGATCTGGCCTTATGGTGAGCCTTATGTTTACCTCGGATCAGGCGCTTGACTGAAGAGTTGATCCACGGCTGGGAATGCATGTTTCTACTCAGTTTGGTTGGTACATGCTTCTGTATCATGTCTGTGACGTGGTTCTTAAACTGGGTCCATGAAACGTTGATGTCATTATACATCACTAATTCGGTTGCCAGGTTCTTCAAGCTTTCCTGGATTGCTTGTGTGTCGGCTCTCTTCCATAGGAAAATTTTCCTCTGCCCTGGTTTGGCCAAGGTAGGTGTAATAAGTGTGTCCAACATAACAATGTCGTGGTCACTTTTGCCCAATGCTGGCAGAGGTTTGCACTTCTCTACTAGGGAAGAGTGGGAGACAAAGAAGAGGTCAAGTGTTTTGTCATCTCTTGTTGGAAAATCTACAATCTGATCCAAGGCTAGGTCATCCTGCATGTTGCAGTACTGGTCAGTTACTCTTGTTGGGACAGATCGACCAGTAATTTGTCGAGATGGCCACTTTATATCAGGAAGATTGAAATCTCCTCCAAGTATGAAGTAGGAACTCTTGTGTTTATTCCGAATTTCAGTGATATCGTTGATTAGCGAGAATGTATAATCGTCGTCAACCCTGTTTGGTGGCCTGTATGCAGCACTGATGATTGCTGATTTGCTGTTAAGGAGGTCAACCTTGATGCTGATCATCTCAGCTTCTTTCCCACAGTGGACTGCAGAACTGGTAAGATTCTGTCTGACAGCTATCAACACACCACCATGTGGATCTGAAGGTCTATCCCGTCTGTATACTTGGTACTCACTTGGGATAAACTCAGATGAGGCCATGTCAGCTGTTAACCAAGTCTCTGTTCCAAGAATAATATCTGGATTTGCTGAGTCTATCAATGTCTCTAAGTCTGCAACTTTGTTTTTAACACTCTGAAAGTTTATATTAACAATACGCAATTTATTTGATTTTTCATTCACTTTGTTTAAGTTTTTGTAATGTTTAGGGGATGATGTGGCCATGGGGCTCCCAATAGATGAATACACAGAATTATCACCTGTATGACTGACTGATGATCTATCAGAAGAATTAACCAATACTGAAAAGGAGTTGGACACAGACATGATGGATTCATAAAGAATGGTTGAGTGATTGGGCACATCACAGGTGGTACAAGTCCAGCTGATAGAGGTGTTTGCAAGGGTTTCATATCTAGATGATGACATTCCCATGCATGATGAGTGAAACCACTGATCACAGTTGTCACATGCGATTGCCTTCTGTCCCCATCGACAAGCCTTTTTACATATACCACAAGGATATTTAATTGATCTTGGGCCTGGGTTTGTCTCTATACCACTGATAATAAGCATGATTGTAATGCTGTGATGTTTAGCTTTAAAGTCAGGTATTGGGTAATGATTACTTTTGCAGTTCGTTATCCAAAAGTAGTATGCCGTGTTGGAGGAAATTCGGGTGGTGGGTACACAACTGATGTAACCTATTTGCTCACCTACCAGGCTTGGGTTGGTGTTGTTCCCATCTCTGGATCTGTGCATTAACAGTATTATATGTAGTAGGAAAACCAACATGATGATACTTATACAACTGGGAAAGCAGTTAATTACGAATAAGATGTTGTTTACATATGATACAAAACCGGAAGTAGTCTCAAGAGAATACTGGTCACTTAAATCTTTCTGTTGAACTTCGTGGTGTTGAATATTTCTGTATTTACATAGTCACTAGATCTATAACTTGGACTTGCATTACTCAAATTCTTCTTTTTCGTCCTTGAAATGCCAAATTTTACCTAAAGTACAAGAGCCCTTTTCAAGCTTACCGCCCTGTCCGATGCGCGCGCACATCCACTCCCCGTCCCTGTAACGACAAATGATCATGTGACTCCTAAATAGTAGGAAACTTTTTCCATTTGACTATACATAATTTTGTTTTTTGTGTTATTATGTTATATAAATTTAATGGCGAAATGTTATGAACCCCTGGAGGTCATCCCCACTCCTAATGAACTGGAAATGTTCACAATATGACTGCATTAGATTAAATAAAAGTGCATCAATGATAAGATTGCTTGACATTTTATTCATCAACCTATCCTCCTAGAATTAGGAATGAAAATCATTCAAAGAGATGGACCACATTAAATTATTTGTATATATTAACATTTTTTTTTAAATGTAAAAACAAGTAGTACATTTTAGTTTGCATACATGAACAAACAGGGGTCTGGGAAGGGATGAGGGGAAGGATCAAGTTAATATCTCTTTACGTCTTAATGGTTGAAACTCCTAAAATGAAAGTTGACCTCAAATCTGACTTGCCCTCATATAATGTAGATTCAAGTTTTTTATGTCACGCCATGATTAGGAATACATGTATAGTTTTTGTCATGTCCGTCCTCCACCCTTCAATCTGTCTTTCCACCGGGCTCAAAGAAACTTTCCAGATATTTTTATCAAAGTTAATATGTTGATGCATACTGATGTAAACTATCCAACTGCAGCAATATTTTTTGACCTTGACTTTTCCTTTGACCTTCACTTAACTTTTCTTTAAATTAGTGTTAGACCTACCGACCCTTGATTTTTTGGGAATGTTACAGGAAACAAACTTATTTTTTTTTTAAGCCTTAGCTTTATTTTAAAGAAACCATTCAAGTTGTGTAATGAAACTTCACATGATGATACATACTAATGTAAGCTTTACAATGCTTCACTCTTTTTTAACTTGACATTTCCTGTGACCTTGACCTCACTTTTCTAAAATTAATGTCTAGATCAGTTTTGAATAAACAATTCAAGGTATATTTATCAAACTTCATATACTAATACATACTGCTGAGAGCTATTAATGCATCAACTTATTTTGACCTTGAATTTTCTTTTGACCTTGACCTCACTTTTTAAAATATGTGTTTATCTAAGTTTTAAATAAATCATTAATCATATTTTTATCAAACTTCATATGCTAATAGTAAATTCATATTGATGTAAGCTTTTCAACTGCAACAACATTTTGACCCCAACCTTTCCTTTGACCTCTCTTTTCTTAAAAAAAGTGTTAAGCTCAGTTTCATTAAATCATTCAAGATATTTTTATTAAACATAATATGCTGATATGTATTAGTGAGAGCTATTCAACTGCATCAAAAAATTCACCTTGCACATTCCTGTGACCTTGACCTCCCTCCTCTTTAATTTGTATTTTGCTTAGTTTTAAAGAAATATTTTAAGACATTTTTATGTTTAGCATGCACTTATACATAATTTGGTGAGAATTTATTATCTATATCCAATTTATTTAGATTTTAAATTCAATTCTAAAGAAACTGTTCAAGATATTTTCATCAAACTTTATACACTAATACAAATTTTCATGTAGCATTAGTAATATACATCTGGCGGGACATTTATGTCCTATAGACATATTTCTAGTTTTTCAAATCATCACCTCAAAGGCTAGGGTCAGGCCACAATTAGGGATCAAAGTTTTATTTAGGAATAAAAGGAAACACATCTTCAAAATTTTTCTTTTCAAGAACAACAAGAGCATGATTAATATAGAAACATTCTCAAGAGGTGTAGATTCAAGTGTGTACAAATCATGACCCCCTGGGTTAGGGAGAGGCCATTTTTTTCCTGCCCCTTTTTGCCATCCACATGAAAATGCAAATTTTGAAACCATTTCACATATACACAAAACAAACCAATCATTTTCCAAATGATCATGGTTTAAAGCTAATGCATAAAATATTAAGGAAGTTCTTGAAAGCAGGGTGATTAAACATATTAAATATATATATAGAAAGAAAAAAAAATTTCTACCCCCATTTAACACCCCCCCCCCCCTGGGCAAAATGAAAATTCCGAAACCTTACTGCACATCTACATGACACCACCAAACATCTCTTAAAAGATGATTAGGCTACTGAGTCATATGTAAGAGGAGTTCAGGGAAGACGGGGCTTTTAGCATAAAAAACATCATTTTTCGGCCCCCATTTGACCCCCCGGGGCAAAATCAAAATTCTGAAACCTTACTGCACATCTACCCGACACCACCAACCATCTCCCAAAAGATGATTAGGCTGCTGAGTAAAATGTAGAAGGAGTTCAGGGAAGACGGGGCTTTTTGCATAAAAAACGGCATTTTTCGACCCCCATTTGACCCCCCGGGGCAAAATCAAAATTCCGAAACCTTACTGCACATCTACATGACACCAACAACCATCTCCCAAAAGATGATTAAGCTACTGTGTAAAATGTAGGAGGAGTTCAGGGAAGAAAAGTGTGACAGACGGACGGACGGACGGACATGAGTAACAACAATATACCCGAACTTTCTTTCGAAAGTGCGGGTATAAAAAGATTATTGTACATTTCTAACATGTCTTGTGACTATTGAATCAGAAGTGCTTTGGTCTCTTCCCTCCTGTCGTGAACTAAAAGGACACCGACTTTTGGCATCACATCCTACGACCCAATATTTGGTAAATCTCAACACCATCAACTAAGGTGTTGGGAGTTAATTTGTGAATGTGAATTTTATTGATAACGTCCTTTGCAATACAGATGTGTGAAGCTCTGGCCAGAGCCATTGCAGCCACTCATCCCAGTAGACGTATCGTTGATGGCGACCATGGTTTACACACGTGTGATGCATGCTGCAACGGTAACGACTGTAACGCCAGGGATTGCGAAGACCTTGCCAAAGGTGGATTATTGTTTTTATTCTAACTCAACATTTGATATCGGTACCTTTCTGAAGCTTTTTAATCTATGCTGCAGTTCTTTCTTTTGGCATGATAACAGATTTGACTTTCTTTTTCAGAAATGCCTCTTTTACTTAATACGACAGCACATGTTACTGGATAACAACTGTACACTTCTATGTTAATATAAACATACACTTCTTTTTATGAAATAAAAAAAGATTAAAAATAAGGATAATTCAATTGTATATTTAATTTAATGATTTAATATCCTCTAACAATACCAATGAGGGTGAGGGAGTCCCAATAATTTTGTCGATTTAAAGCATTTGGTAAGCAGCTACTTTTTACTTGTGTCCGTCCTCAATAATAACTCCTGTTTTCTTTTTTTTTTCTTTGCAATTCCCCAACCTAAAAATAATTTGTCTAGCCCCCGACCCCCACCCCAACTAAAACTTAAATGAAATACTAGTATGGATCGAGACAAAGAGCAGTATTCAAGCTCAAAGAAAATCCATTTAAGCAATTACATATACAAAGCGGCAAACATGGGCCTCCAAAACCTCAGACGTGGGATCAGGTGTCATGGGTGTGTGAATATCCCCTGTCTACCGGTTGCATCCGCCATGTACTACTTGTCATGATCGAAAAACGGGAAAAATCGTAGTTGACAATTCACTGTGTTAATAATGGCCTAAAAATTAATATGAAATGAGTCAGCCAATTAAACTTGATGAGAGAATGTATTTGCTGACAAGTTCATTGTATCGATCATACAACTTGCAGAATAATGACTTCAAACGAGACTTTCGAATATTTTGTTTCATCAACATTTTTGTCAAAAGCTTAGAAATTATTCACATCACTGAAAGAAATACCTAGTTAATTCAACTAGTGTACCTCGTAAAGCGTTCGTCGTGATTAGTAATCATTCTGTTTACTGGCCTAGATATTGAGAAGTATGTGTCCCGTAGAACGGGGATCGATTAGATACCTACTAACCTATTGAAATTAGTTACTTATAAATTCTAGATTTACTAATGTTATCTAGTAAATCTACTCAATACCTAGTAAAAACAACTTTTAAGGTAATGATTGCATGGATAATAAATTTACAATTACATAGATAATATAAGCTGCATAAGATATTTCAAATGTGGAAATACAAAAGTGTAAGATTTTGAATTTCATTTCTTATCTCAAAAACTGGAACAGATAACACTGTATTTTTGGAAAGATTTTGTAAAACAAAATGGTTGTAACAGATCTAATTGGTTGTAATAAACTTTTATAGTAATTCTGAAATCAAAGATTTTACAAAACAATCCAAACTAGAGGTACTGTGAACACTGAGCTTACTAAATGATTCCCCGCCTTTCATATGAGTAATGGCAAAGTTCATGCTTTGCTCTGGGAGGCCCAAAATAAGTGTCAGATCAAAATGTTAAATAAAAGTCGCACAATGGCATTATGTAATGAAGAATCTGTGAAAGTATCATCAAAGTATCATTAAATTTTATTCAGTTGTATCGGAGGAGTTGAAGAAAAGAGATGGATACCCTGCACTAAAATAGAGAGGATGGCAGTGTCAATGTTATGTTCTGAGAAACCCAACATATTTGTCCGTTCAAAAAGTAAAATAAGAAGCTCATTAAATTTCATTCAGTGGTATAAGAGAAGTTGAGAATAGAGATGGGTACCCAAAAGAGTAACAGACGGACGTACAGACACAGGCGGACGTACAGACACAGACGGACGTACACAGGCGGACGTACAGACACAGGCGGACGTACAGACACAGACGGACGTATAGACACAGGCGGACGTATACAGGCGGACTTACAGACACAGACGGACGTACAGACACAGACGGACGTACAGACACAGGCGGACGTACACAGGCGGACGTACAGACACAGACGGACGTACGAATGGACGAATTCTTTATCTAAATGTAGGGAGAGGGCTAAAATAGGCTGCACCTGCTGCCCAATCCTATTCACAATAACATCAGTGAATAAAATATTGTTTAAATTAAATGTATTTTACAGAATAAATGATTCCCAATTATTTTATTTTCAGCTTAATATTTTTTTTCTTAAATGTTTATGGCATCTAATCCCACCTCTGATGTTTTGGAGGTCCGTGTTTGCTCTGCTCCTATTTTGAATTGTTTTACGGACTTTGATATTGAATACTGTTCGTTATCTCCATATCCTTCATTCTTTGTAAAACAAAGCCAAGGTCCTCCAATTAACTTTTGGAATCCTTATTCCCGGCGATTCTAATTATATCCCCTTTATAACTCAGTTTTTCTTAAAATTATTTAAAAATCTTGCTCTGGCATACAAATCAGAAATATATTGACGACATTTTATCTATTAATTAACATTGCCCCCTTTCATTCAAACGTTGCATGTACGTGAACACTTTCTAAGTTTCTACAAGTGTGCTTATATATTAAATATAAGAAATTCATTTTCAAAACGTTTACCTTTAAAACATAAATATTTTATCTCCTTTCTTTCAATCAAAATACTTGTCAAGGACATACATACATGTGTGAACTAAGTTCAAAGCATATTAATTAAATTGTCACAAAGAGGACCCTGACCGAGATGAAAGAAGAGAGGGCACAAAGGTTCCATCTTTGATCCTCAGATTTACACAAGATCAACCCAAATTATTGAAATCTATAATTCACAGATAAGGTACTAAGCTTAAAATCATTGAAACATTCTGAGAATACCAATTTTAACAGATATCAACCTTCAGAAATAAATGTAATTCACTGTGCACGAAACAGATGGTATAGAAATGGATCATAATATTTCGTAGGATTTGTGTTTTCTATTAACATTAAAGCATTTCTGATTTTTATGTTTTGTAATTCAATATAGAATATACACTAGTAATTAATTGATATATATGATAACTACTTGTCTTTTCTTAACCTGATTTTGATTACATTATATATATTATTTTACAACTCAGAGTCCTGATGATCCTTTGTTTTGTGGCAGTACCATCCTGCAGGACTCGCTCCGTGGAAGAGGTATTCAATCAAGGTAAATTTTAAGTACAGCAGTAAGATTTTTTTAGCCAAAAGATTTCGAGATTTGTTTGGATCGTTTGTTTCAATAGGAATTTATTATACATGTATACTAGTAATTCAAAAGGTCTCAAAATGAAGCCTGAAATTGAAATCTTTTCATGCAACAACTTTCATTTTACGCATCTTAAAATCTTAATAAAATGACTTTGTACTCCCAATAAAAGTATTTTAAAGATGCATGCATATTAATTCCATTCTTCTGGCCTTAGACATTATATCATGAAATGAAATTAGGAGTGATTTGTGGTGGTTTTTGATAATAGAAAATGCTTTAGAAATTAATATGCATCATAAAATAATTGAAATAAACAGAAGAATTACCGTATAAATATAAAAATCTTGCAATATTCTTGAAATGCCAGAATACCAATATAGTCTTTTAAGCCATAAAACGAATTGTTGATCAATGCTTAAGGTGTTTTGATTCGCATTTCTTTAAAAAAAAATCATAATACATGTATAATGAAAATGAATGTTAAATAATTTGGAAAATTATTTTTGTTGTCCAGTTAAAATCATCTTAAAACAAGAGGCCCCTGGGCCACAACGCTCATTTGAATAACTTAAACCTTGCTGTTCTTCATCAGAATACTTATTGTGGCCCCGGGGGTCACAACTTAAACAACTTAACAATGAAGAATCTACACTAGCCCCACGAAGCTTTCATAAAAGTTTCAGTGGTTAAAATTCTTTATAATTTGTATAACCTCCCAATTGTGGCCCCATCCTACCCCCGGGGTCATTTAAACAATTAAGAATTGTCACTACCTCAGGAAGCTTCCATAAAAGTTTAAAGATTTTCCATGCACTCAGTGGCTTTTATAGGGATTTTTAAAGAAATCTTACATATTTCAATGTAAAACTTTGATTCCCTGTTGTTGCCATTCCATACACCTGAGGGTCATGGTTTGAACAATTTAGAAATCCAGTCTAATCTACCACAGGAAGTTTCCTTTAAAATTTCAACTTATCTGGTCCAGTGGTTCAAGACGTTTAAAGATTTTCCCAATATAATTGAATGTAAAACTTGAATTTCCTATTTTGATCCACCCTATTCCCCGGGGGTCATGATTTGAACAATTAAGACAATCTCAGGAGACTTTCACATAAGTTTCAGCTTTTCTGGTCCAGTGGTTCTTGAGAAGATGTTTAGAGATTTTTTTCTCAAGCACTTTTTTCGGAAATATATTTGAACCCATAGTATAAAATACTTTGTGTTTAAATTTATTGCCGAAACAAGTGCATATTTGAACCCATAGTATAATAAAACTATGGGTTCAATTTTATTTCCCAAACAAGTGAATGTGGATTTTTTCTAGAAATTTCAATGAAATGTCATTTTTAGCCGGGCTTATTGCTCAAAGAGCAATTGCCGGCTTATGCCATCCTGTTCAAGACAGAATGTCAACCCCATAGTCGCCATTTTAAAGTTACATGTAAAAATATAGTTCTTACTCTCAACCGCTTCTGAGATAATACAAACGCTAAATAAAGCAACATAAATAAAACGAAGTTTTATCTAAATAAATAAACATTAGTAGTAATGACTTTGAAAACTTCAGTCTTAAGTCAAAGAACATAGTTTATTAGCGTAAGGATTTCTGATAATCAGTGTTATTGTAGTTCTCTACACTAACGAGGAAAAACAGGAGAGGGAATCAGACTGGCCTGTTTGTTTACAATCAGCCGTAGTACCAGATTAATTTTGATTCTGACAAAATTGGACCGTGGTATTTGGATCGAAAACTAACTGTCAATGTCTTATAATTAATATTGCTAGTTAGGTCTTTCCACCTTTCTGTGGAAAGACCTCTTGAAATGCTTCTGTTTCTTTTTATTTTATTTCTCCCCTTAGCTTTTGAAACGGTAAGACTTATCGAAAAACTTTTTAGTTCATGATACTGGATAAATAAAGTTATTCCGAAAAACGACCCCGTATGTTTTAACTTCTACCCCTTACGCAGTTATTGGCCCTTTCACCGTTAAGCTTGTTATCGCTACTCCTCAGAAACCCTAAACCATAGAAATACAAAACCTTCACCATTGTCTTCAACTAATTTAGGAGACTTTTCAATCTATTCATTGCGAAAGTTTTCTTTGACCCCTTCGATGAGTAATTGCCCCTGAAAGTTTATAAATTTTACAAAAAATTAAAAATTTTCAAAACGAAAAGTCGTAGAGACATGAAACCAACTGCATAACATTCAATGACCTTTTGCCTTCAAATTCATTTCAAGGTCAAAGTTCAAGGTCATTCCAAATATGAGAAATAAATTTCTCTGAATAGCTCTTATGTCCTTAAACATATACTATCTATCTTATGTCTTTAATATGTACTTTTGAAGCTCTTTAGAAGATATAATTCTTGGCACCTAAAATTGACCCTTTAAAAAGTTGTTGCCCCTTGTGCTAAAAACCCTTGTTATCCCGACTCCTCTGAAACCGTAAACCGTAAAGGTATGAAACCTTCACCAATGGCTTTGCTTAATTATGGGGACTATTCAATCTATTCATTGCGAAAGTATTCCGTGACCCCATCAATGAGTTATTGCCCCTGAAACTTTTTGAATATTACAAATAATTAAAAATTTGAAAAACGACAAGTCGTAGAGACATGGGACCAACTGCATAAGATTCATTGACCTTTGACCTTCAAATTCATGTAAAGGTCAAAGGTCAAGGTCATTCCAAAAATGGAAATTTTGCTCTTTTTATATCTCTTTTGTCTTTCAACATATACTTAATGTCTTTGCATCATTAATATGTACTCATAAAACTGTTTCAAAGATTACACTCTTGTCCCCTAATATTAACCCTTTTAAAAGTTATTGCCCCTTGTGTCGAAAACCTTGTTATCACCACTTCTCCGAAACCGTAGACTGTAGAGACACCAAACCTTCACTTATATCTTAAGGGTCTTTAGGCTTTACAAAACTGTATAAGTGCAAATGTATCTGATGACCCCTAATATGAGTTATTGCCCTTTAAATTCTTTGTACTTACTATAAATTCTTATAACTTGAAAACTATAGGTCATAGAAGCATGGGGGCAACTGCATTGTGACCCTTGACATTTGACCTTGAAATTTTTTCAAGGTCAAAGGTCAAGGTCATTATTATTTTTTTTATTTTCATTTTTTCTATGCTTTAAGAGAGTTTTGGTTTCTTTTTCAAGGAATTTAATTTTTCGGAGTCAGGTATAAAACAAATTTAAAATTCAAAGAAGGTGGAAAGACCTCTTATTGTTCTGTGAACAATAAGTCTCCTAGTTTTAAAATAATTTTTTCATCAGAATTTTTAATCTGATATTCTTGTTATTTATCTGTTAATACATATGATTCATGTAAGAAATTCATTTTACTCTGTAAATGAGCCCGGCTCTCTGTACTTCTGAGTACTTTGATTAAAAAGTTGTTATCTAGTTGAGTTATCTTTCTTTTATCATCATGAGCGAAAAAATAAAAATAAATTGATTGCCACCCTTCTTTATCTTTTCTTGATTATCTCCCCTTTTAAGGGGGCTTGATACTTTATTTAAACAACTTTAACCCCCTCAACCAACGATGTTTTGTGCAAAATTGGCCCCAGTGGTGCTCAAGAAGAAGAGTTAACAGACGGACGGACGATGGACAACAAGTGATCAGAAAATCCCACTTAAGCTTTCAGCTCATGTGAATCAAAACACCTTAGAATTGAGCAAAAGTAATGATTTTAAAAAGTTTAAAAACCTATACACTGTAACGAGAAGTATATTAGAATATATTATGCATACATGTAAATTGTTAGGTACTGCAGTTGATTCGGGTCCTTCCAAAATAAAACCAGAAAAGGACAATCCCATCGACAACAACAATGAAATTCCCATACTGTTCCAGATGGAAGGAGTAGGAGGATCGTCAACTCCACCTTTAATTACTCAGCCCATTGAACTAGAGGAATCTGGATTAGACAAGAAGGTGCTAGGACTGCCGGGATGGGAGTACGTCATGGTTTCTCTGGTTGTTGTGGCTGCTGTTGGAGTTGGAGGAAGTGTCGCAATCGTCTGCAAAAAGTGTTGTGGTTTAGCGGGAAAAGGTGTTACTAAGAAAAGTGAAGGTGAAGGACAAATAAGAACGTCTTAATTGTCTTACTTTAGTTTATTATATGTGGAAGGAGTGACAGTAGAAGAATCATTTTATTTTTGACCACATCTGATACTGTACAATACGATTATAGTAGACTCTATAAGCTCATCTGAAAAAAAAAGGAACTCGAAAGGATACTGTATTTGATTAATCCATACATGCTGAAAGAGCATCAAATATTGTTTTGATTGGGAAACTTCTACATTTAATGATCACTTATGGTGTAGATTTTAATATACTTGTTTTCATACAAACATTTCAAGTCACTTCAAATCTAATGCTTCGTTTAAGGTTCAGATTCTTTAATTATAAACATTTTGAAGTTCACATTGAAAATCCAAATAAAAAGGAAACTAAAAGGATGTTTTGATTTTTGGTAGATTCTCTTACTTTTCTTTTTAAATCTATTATCCCCTCGCAATGGAGTTAGGGGATTTATTAACGCAGTCGTGTGTGTTTGTTTGTCGTTTCTGAGCTAGTGATGTACGAAACGGATGAGACGTAATTTGCATCAGGAACGATAAGTCGACTGATCTCTTGTATTAAAGAGGTTACCTTCAGCTTTCAGAAGAATTTTTGTCTTGACCTCTTTAAAAAAGAAATACATAATGTTTTAGTTCTTAAAATAAATTTGGATTCTATAATGCTTATTAAACTATATTCAATTAAAACCCCATGAATAAATTCCAAACCGAAAACGTTTAGCGAGGAATTATATTTTGTGGCGGAAGGTTTTTCAAGAAGAAAAAGATCTTTTTTCCCCCTTCTGAAGTATTCAATATTGTTAAGTTTGGATTCCTAAATTTGCATGAAGTCTGCAAACAGAGTAATTTTGTGCAGTGAAATGTTCTATGCTGGTCCTAGATTATACATTTTAAAAATTTTTAACTATCACGAATTCTTCTTTTTTGACAATGATGGTTGGCAACTTAAGATATCATTTCTAAAAAAAAAATTAAGTAATAGCTGAAGGTTTATTAGTTGACCGCCAGCCTCCTTAACCAATCCTAAAAATATGTATTTAAAAACATGTCTACAGAACATTTGTATACCCTGGTATCTCTCAAAACATCTGCACAGCTTACTCACCAATTTTAATGCGATATCTAGTCTTAAGGTTGTTTCAATTTGACCCTCTTGATAAGAGAGACAACTCTCAAAGGGATAATTTTGGTAGCACACAACAAATGGACCAAATCGATTTTGACTATTTCCATTTTTGGTTGATTGGATATTCAGGGCAGGTAAAAACAGCAATTTAAAAAGCATTCTAACTCCGTTATCTAGCAAACGATTTGGATGTGGTTTTTAGTTATCTTTCTTTTATCATCATGAGCGTAAAAATAAAAATAAATTGATTGCCATTACATGTATCCTTTAACTTTATTCTTTAAAACTTTGGTATTTTTTTCTGAAACAAATTCTTTATTTTCATGTACCATGGATCTCTCAGAAAATACATGATACAAATACAAATGAGTTCTGGTCCTTCGGATGAGACCGTATAAAATGAGGTCATATATCGCTGTAGATATTGGCGCGAAAAAGATCACTTACTGCTCAATGGCTCTAAGTGCCGCCCATATGTATAAATTTGCAGCGCTCCAGCGGCAAGTGGTGGCTTCTCCATCATCTTCGCAAGCCAAGGGTTTCTGATACGCTACTCACCTCATAATGAGAAGAGTAGCGTATCAGAAACCCTTGGCTAGCGAAGATGCTTCTCCATATGACAAAATTCCCGTGAAGGACTTAAACATCAAGCAAGCAAACACTTGTGTGATGCTGTTTTTAATGCTACCCTTTTTACGAACGCAACATAAAGGAAGGACATCCTTCTGGTTCTCCGAGCCTCGGGTTGGGCAGGAGGCCAACTACCTCCTCTAATAAAAGACAGTTAGGGAAACAAAATCATCATAAAGCAAAGAAGACCGAGTGACGCGGGGGCTCCAGCACTAGTGGCAGTTTGGCGACAAGAGGGGTAAAAATACGGAAAAAACAGCCTCGGGTTAGATCCTTGTGATACTAAAACAAACATTCAACATCGGACACTGGAATGTGCGAACTATGAAGTAGAGATACAAAGAGTGAGAAAGATTGAAGTATACCTTCTGGAATTTCTTAAAAAGTCAGCATCGATGGACGAGAGCTGGAAGGATATATGTTTGTTTATATTTTGTTTTACATCCCTGTCAAGTATTTTTCACCCATATGGAGACCCCAACAGGTGCCAGTGGACGAGAGTGCAAATTTTGTCTCATACTGAGTACTCGTCACTTACAGCTGTTGAGCAGTGAGGGATCTTTTTCATGGCAGTACCTATTACGACACGGGACCTCAGTTTATACGGCTCATTTAAAGGACCGGACTCCAGGTCTCAAAGTGGAATTCGAATCCGAATTCGAATCTGTTGTAAGGATCAGCTCCTTACTTTGCGACTCTAAAGCAAACGGTCTAACCACTACGCGGGCGACAGCTGGTAGGATGAGACTGGCCTCGCGCCAGACAGTCAGAGGAAGGAGTTGTCATCACAATCATTCAGCAGGCAGTGAAATTACCCATGGACTACCCACCTATCAGCAAGAGAACAATAACAGCACTGATTCACACTTATACACCATAAAATAAAAAGGATGACGGATATGACCAGTTCTATCAGGTGCTTGGATGGATGCAACAACAGCGACATCATTATCATCATTATCATCATGGGGAACCTCAACGCCAAAGTAGGAAGTGTTTACCCATAAAGACATTCACAAAGCTACATTGCTTTCTGCTATGGAAGAGTGAAGAACAAGATTAACATCCTTCTCATTAATTGACAATGGAGAGCCTGTGTTCTTGACACCAAAATAACGGGGAGCACAGCGACTATGACCTGACGAAGATCCGAATGAAGCTACGCCTGACACACAAGAACAACTTGAAATCGAGACTTGATGTGGAACGCTCCAAAAACAAAGAAGAAAAATGAAGTTCATTGACTGCTTGAGAAAGATATAAACAGAGAGAAGATACTGATTATATCGAAAAAATGTGGGAGTATATAGGAGAAAACAGCCTATGTAAAATCAGCAGAGGAAGTACTCGGCTTCAGGAAATTTTAGGCAAAAGCAAGACTTGGATCCGAGAAGACACATGGAAGCCAATAGATAAAGTTAAGACATCTAAGTATTGATGGATAGCACAAAGCCAGGAGGTGTATAGTCCAGATTAAGGGGAAAATACAGAGAAATAAGTAAAGCAATCAAGAAAAAGTGTATGAGAAGACAAAAGGAGGTAGGTTGCAGAGAAGTTCAAGTGAGCACAAAAAGCGACCTGAGATCGGGAGATGAAAGGAACTGCACAGTATCATAATGTTGTTAAAAGGACAAAGCATAGACCAAAAGGTGCACAAGGAATGGACCAAGAGACTGCTGGGCAAAATCACTACGAAAAGCCACCTTCAGGAGTGCAGCAATTTGAGAGGGATTTCCTTGCAAAGTGCTTAGCAAAATTTTCATCAACAGAATGCAGGCTAGAGTTGACCATATCTTATAAATGAAGAACAGACACAGTTCAGGAGAGGTAAAGGGACTGTCAACCAGGTCTTCACGCTTAAGAATATGCGGCGAAACATGTCAAAGATTCTCGACGTTACATAATTAGCGTCTGAAATTTACAAAGCCTTTCATTCACTGTTGAAATATACATTCCGGCAAATGTCAACGAGTGTATTAATGATCCAATGATCGCGTTTCGTACGACAAAGAGGTGGGGCTTAAGTCGTCTCATCGTTGTCAACACCAATTTAAAGTTCCTGATTAATTTCTTAACCAATGAGAATCTATTCGCCATTTGAGAGATGTTAACTACGTTGTGTCGAGAAAGTAACACCCTACTGAAAGTCCAATGTTAACTGAGAATCGTATTACAATCTTTACTACCTCAGAAAGCTTCCATGAATGTTTAAAGCTTTTCCATGCACTCAGTGGTGTTTATAGTGATTTTTTAAAGAAATCTTACATATTTTAATGTAAAACTTTGAGTCCCTATTGTTGTCATACCATACACCTGAGGATCATGGTTTGAACAATTTAAAAATCCAATGTAATCTACCTCTGGAAGCTTCATTAGAATTTCAACTTTTCTGGCCCAGTGGCTCATTAGAAGATGTTTATAGATTTTCCCCATATATTTCCACGTAAAACTTGAATTTCGTATTTTGATGGAGCTTATTCCCCATGGATCATGATTTGAACAATTAAGAATTAAAACTCTCAGGCTGCTTCCACATAAGTTTCAGCTTTTCTGGTCCAGTGGTTCTTGAGGAGAAGATGTTTAAAGATTTTCCCTAGAAATTCCAATCAAAACTTATATTTCTCATTGTGATTCCACCCTATCCCCTATGGTCACAATTTGAACAAGCTATAATCTACACTACTTTAGGAAACTCCTATAAAAGTATGGACTGTTCTGGCCCCGTCATTTTTTTTTCTTTGATTGACCCCATACTTCTTTATCTTTTTTTGATTACCTCCCTTTGTTAGCCCTGGTAAGGGGGCTTGGTACTTTGTTTAAATAACTTTAACTCCCCCTCATCCAAGGATAACAAGGATATCTGTACAAAATTGGCCCCGGTGGTGCTTGAGAAGAATTAACAGACGGACGGACGGTGGACAACAGGTGATAAGAAAATCCCACTTGAGCTTTCAGCTCATGTGAACTAAAACATCCATGAATTGATGAATAGTAATAATTTTAACGAGTTAAAAAAATATAGAATATATCAAATATAGAATACATATATGTCTACATCTAAATTGCAAGGTACTGCAGTTGATTCGGGTCCTTCCAAAATAAAACCCGAAAAGGAAAACCCCATCGACAAAAACAATGAAATCCCCATACTGTTCCAGATGGAGGGAGGTGGGGGACCGACAACACCACCTTTCATTAGTCAGCCCATTGAACTTGAGGAATCTGGATTAAACAGGAAGCTGTTAGGACTGCCGGGATGGGAGTACGTCATGGTTTCTCTGGTTGTTGTGGCTGCTGTTGGAGTTGGCGGAAGTGTCGCAATCGTCTGCAAAAAGTGTTGTGGTTTAGCGGGAAAGGGTGTTACTCAGAAAAAAGAAGGTGAAGGGCAAATAAGAACGTCTTCTTAACTGTCTTACTTTAGTCAATTTTCTCCGGAGGGGTTGAGTTTGGATAGAATCATTTTATTTTTCATCACATCTAATTTTGTACAATATGATTATAATAGACACTCATCTGGAAAAAAAGGATCTCGAAAGGATATTTGATTAATTC